TCTGTTGCCATCTGCTGGTTGTCTTGCAAAGCTTTGGAAAACTGCAAAATAGGAAAAATAGATCCATCCACTTTGCAAAGGTTTATCCTGGTCAGGGTCGTGCCTGGAGTCCATCCCACAAAGCACAGGGTACCCAGCAGGGGGGCATCCTGGGGGGTATCCCGGTGCATCGCAGGGCACACACTCAATCACACACTCGGGGCGATATATAGAAGGCAGTTTAGCCAACCATCTCACTGGATTGCATCAGGAAAAGAGGGCAGTGGAAGGAAAGTCATATGATCTACGCCTCCCTATTACCCGAATATTATACCTGTATGTTTTGCCCAGAAATAGACAAGCAAACATATTTAAAGACATTAAAACAAAAGCACTTATGTTTAAATTCACTGAAGAACATGTTTTTAAAAGGGAAGTCGATCCACATGCTTCACCATTTTGAAGCATTAAGAATCACATGCAGCTTCAACACATTTATTCATAAGCGAAAATGTAAAGGCTGCTTCTGTATTTACTGAGGACTGAGTCCCCACTCTGAAGAGCTACAGTTCATTACAGTTCATTACCCAATATAAGGGTATTTGGGAGTTTCAGGTTTAAGGTGCTACGAAGGGTGGCATCCAGAATTAAATATTTTCCATTGAGGGAGGAACATATGTACAGAGGCAGGTTTATTGTCTCTGGGGCCCAACTCAAAGAGTTACACTGCCCCCCTCCCCATGCAGTGACTCTTTGTGGCCAACAGGGGCCCCCCAAACCTTAGGGACCCCACAGAAATATGTGGTTTGAGCGGTAGTAAATTTGCCCCTATGCATACGATGAGTATTAGTAGAAAACCTTGAAGTTACAAGTACATTATGATATAGAGATGTGTTGCTTTGGTTACGATTGTCATTACTGATCAAAATATTGCACTATTTTACATTTGGAACATTGTGGTGTTAGATTCCTTTGAACCGGTATCATTCTTGTACTTGAAATCCTCACAGCAGCCTCTTTATATGTTACCCCTACAGCACAGTGAAAAGCCTTTTGTGTTATTGAAAGGTATTTAGCTCCTAGCCTAATGGCATTTTCCCAGTTTGAAGATGATTATTTTACATCAAGATTATTTTAGTAAATCTATCTAATCCCCAAATTGTACATTTTTGGGAAAAAATGAAGCCAACAGCTGCTATCATTTATGAATGCTAATGACCTGTTTAAAAAAATCAGTAGTAGTCTGGACAAATCTTATTACTTCTCCATACAGAAAGAGTGGTGTTATCTGGGTTCATAATTTGAATGTGGATCAGACTCAGAATATATTTTACAGGCTTATGTCCCGCAGCGCCCCCTTGAGGTCATGGTGACTTCATGAGTAATGAGATGGGGCTGAATCTTTGTAGTAAATGTACATATTCTCTGGTGCAGTCAACCACTAAAAGTAACTTTGTTGGCTTTAAGTTTAATTGTATTTTTAGTTAATGACAAGGCATCTTTGCTGGTATAAAATATACTTTTTATTTTAATTTGTATATTTTTCCCTGTCATGAACTGCACTTTGAGCTTCCTATAGCTGTAGAAGTGAGTACGTAAGTAAATTGCAAATCGTTGTACCATAGATAGTCTGTGTGGGATCCCTGGACTTGAGCTTGTCTTTGCCACAAACTTTATGATTTCCAGGGGTTCCATGCAGCATTTACTCTCACTTATACGCTGTATTTACCATGAAATGCACCTGACTTTATTTGAAAGGGTGCACTGTGATACTTCAATGATATACATAATTCATAGTAATGTACTCAGTTCATGGGAGTTTTACATACACAAAGGCAGAACGAAAAATAATTGCTTCAGAGAGGTAACCAATCAGATTGTAAAGGAGGCAGGTCTAAGCAACTAAAGGAGGCAGGTCCAAGACATTTGATTGGTTGGTCCTACCTCCAGCACAATCTGATTGATTATCTCTTTGAACTAATCATTTTTTGTTCTGCCCTTAGAACATTTTTGTGTAAATAAAATTCTTATGAGCAGTCATGTGAGGAATGCCTGTGTAGTTTTTCAGTTCCTCAGGAATCACTGATAAATATCCATTAATGATCAGCACTTATGGAAAATGGGGACGAATAATCATGGTGCAATGGTGGTCAAAAAGATTTTGCCATCATCCTAGTGCCATTTCAGCAATGTAAGTCTATTAGAGCCTTAACCAACTGCTCCCAGCCTGGTTCTGAACGGCACACACAGCCGCCAGTTGTGTGTTGAAGGCCTAATTGCTTTTCTGTGATCTGGAAAATCCTAAAGGAGAAAATGTGGCCATAATTCCCCATCAGGATCCCAGGTCCTGGTCCTCCTTAGGCAGTGCTCTGCTGCAGGTGAGACCCCTGTTACCCTCCGAGCCGTCTGTTAAATCTGGCAAAGACTCAAGGGTCAGAGCAAGAACAAAGAGAGGCATTTTAATATTGAAACAGAGGTCCCTGAAGAATAGTTTAATTTGTTCTAATATACAAACCGATTTAGTGCTTACTCTAGCAGTGAGAAAACGCTTCGCCTTTAATTGCCTAAATGTCTCTGAATTTCTTGACACGGAGCTTCCATGCAGCAGATGCTGAGCCTTAATTAGCCTGTGCAGACCTGACCTAAGGCTCCTTCCAGGACGCTTCGACGTTTCCCTCATCGTTCGCCATCACCCTGCGCCGGCAACCGCGAGCACCATCGTTCACGGTCGGCACCTTGAGGCGTCTCCTGTAGCAGGGAGTCCATGTGTGCAAGTTAAGCACTTCAGCAGCAAATAAGCCCTCCTGGTCCTCCTCCGTCCAGCTTCTGCTATGACAGATGAACCTGTCTTTTAATATGGATGGAGGCCATATGCTGCTTTCAAAACAAGAAGGTAGGCGGCCAGCGCCGGTGGAAACCCCCTCGAAAGCCACCCTGTCCTGAAGCTGCTGAAACTGGGGGAAAACAAACAAAGATCATCTCTAGAACTGCTTTTAAATACAAGACTTTGCTTCTCTCCTTTAGAAAGATACGTAGCATTTTTAATCATAACTACAGGGAATTTACAGCTGAGACGAGGGCAGGCCTGCTTGGAGGCTGGTGAGGATCGCATGTACGCTACCAAGCCAAGCTTAGTGAGGTGGTTTTATTACTCTAAAGCCAAAGGCACCATGAACCACCTGTGGGGCGTGTGCCCCCCCGATGTCAGCATTTTCACATCTTCAAAACATATTCATCACAGTCATGGTAACTAATAAGAAAAAAAATCACATCAACAAGTCATGTCTCCATTGTGATATACTATATCAATCTTTATAGATAAATTTATTCAGTATTGCAAAAAAAATTAACACGTAGATACTGGCCTAACAGCGTTTTTCAATTTAATAACGATGAACATTAAAGCCAACTAAAAATGGTTCCACTCTATCAAGCTACTTGAGCTCAATCAGTTTTCTAAAGATCCGTTAATCAGACGTCAGTGTACAGCCTATACCAGGCACATTTTCTGCTGTTGTGCGCAGGAGAAGCTTCTCATAACTAAAGGTTCACAAACACCAGTTTCCAGTATATCTGACTAAGAGTTTCAGCAGACAGAAAGGGGCCTGATACCTTCAGGGCTGAGGGCTGGACCATTTGCGGAGACTGCACACCACACCCTTGGTCACTTCAGTTTGATTCAGAAACCCAAAAACATGGAGTTTGGTCAACAGTGTCCCCTTAATTATCAAAAGATTGAGACTGTGTGTGTGTGCCCTGTGACAGAACGGCATCCCATCCAAGATGACCTGTGTCCAATGCTTTCTGAGAAAGGCTCCAGACTAACACTGGGACCTTGTAATGGATAAGAAGTTATAGAACATGGACAGGTGGATGGATGGATGGATGGATGGATGGATGGAGGCACAGAATATGCATGTTTCACAAAGTAGATAATACATACAATACAGTGCAGTGGTCTTATAGGCAGTCAAAGAAAATGATGTTTAACTGCTCTTCATGTTTGTGTAAAACTATATTATAAATGTGCTACCATTTCAAAACCTCTCCCAGTAATTACAGCAGCCATCCAATACACCCATGAATTGTTTGATTTGATCACTAGCTGGCTAATCAATACCTCATTGACTTAACTGAGCTGGTGGAGAAATTTAACGAATACATGAAATGGCTGAGGTGCCCCTGAGGAGAGGTTTGGGGACTGAAGCCGTGTTCATCTAGCCGTCCAACTAGATATCAGCAACTTTCAGGAGAGCAGAAGAAATTCTTGTTTATTTTTTAATGTGTTGTTAATTTGCACATGTTCTAATGCCAAAATGTTTTTTTTCTGAGCACATGTATACTTAATACCCAGATAAATAGCTTTAAACATTTCCTTTGACTCCCTTTGCACACTGTACACACATGCAAAGTGAGAGACCTAGAGAGTGTTATTACAGTACATTAAGAAAAGATGGATAAACATTTACACATTTCACAACTAAAAAGAATACAAGTGATCTATAAAGCACAAGAGATCAAAAAATAAAACATAGCGTTCTAACAATGTAATTGTTTACATGAACGCACAAGCATTAATTCTTTTATCAGTACTAAGGCAGTGAATTTACAATAGATTTAGTGGATTTACAAATTGTACAGAAATAATGGTCCCATATCCATAAGTGACATCCAGTAGTATTTTATGAAGCAATATTCTGAAGATTTCATTAAATCATCACATCATCAGCGCCCATAAATAATAGGGGTGTGTCTATGATTGACATAAATTAAAGACAAATGCAGCAGTAGAACACAAACATGTAAAATCAGAAATGGCAAAAATTCTACTATAAGCTTTAGCCATATCATCATAGGTCATGATGTTCTGTATCTCATCCAAGTAAATTTTAGAATTTAGAGATCAGTGGTCATTGTCAACACACCACAGCACACAGTGCACAACAACGAAATGTGACCTCTGCATTTGACCCATATGTGACCTTCGTGACATAGCAGGGGGCAGCTAATTCAGCGCCCGGGGAGCAGTGCTTGGGGACGGTACCTTGCTCAGGGTACCTCAGTGGTGACTTGCTGGTGGGGGATTCGAACCAGCAATCTTTCAATTACAAGTGCGCTACCCTAACCATCAAGCCACCACTGCCCACACAAAAGCTCTTAGATCTTAAGATATCAAATGGCTAATCAATACCTCATTGACTTAACTGAGCTGGTGGTGAATTTAACGAATACATGAAATGGCTGAGGTGCCCCTGAGGAGAGGTTTAGCTCTTAAATCACAAAGCTCTTAGAACTGAAACTAACATAACTGGACTCTGCACTCTTATCTGCAGAGCCCAATAGGTAGCAGAAAGACGTACCATAATCCTCAAGATGGGCGTTCTTCCCTCTATCTATGCAGTGACAAGAGCAGAGTCCTTACTTCACTGTAGCGGATGTAATAGATATGATCAACAACTTCAGATTGTTCAGATTCAGAGTCACAGTCACCGACAGCCTTTTTAGTAACATTATACCTCAACGCCTCATAATGCACATAAAACAACAGAGAAAAACTCTCCACCCCTTAAGACACCTTTATTATAATGACATGTCCTAACTGCCTAAGCGGGGGTTTAGTATTGTTGCTGCATCTCTTTGACTGATTGTAGGAACCTGTGCTCTGGCCTGACACACAAAGTGAGCATGTATACACACCTTCTTCAGTTCATTTGTATTATACGCTGAAGAAGGCTTGGGCTATGCGTTGGCGTTTGTAACAGTCCAGGTAGGACACGCGTTTCTGAATTCCTCAAAATAGGGCATTTATATGTACGCTGATGGACTGGTGTCTGGTCTAAGATGAATCACGGCCTCAGACCTTGAATATGGCCACCTCAGTTCCTTAAACCACTAAATGGGTTAAAATGTTGTTAGAAGTTACTTATGACATTAAAAGCAGACCCAATAACCCAAGATCCAGCAGCAGTAAGATGATTGCTCCTTTAGCTCAACAAGTCATTATTCTAAAAGCACAAAGCTTGTGGGTTCAAAAATCATAACCTATTCACCTCCTATAAATTAACTTGGAAAAACTGTCAGGGAAATTCAATGACATTATGTAATTTTCTATGGCCCTTTGCTTAATAAATTACTATATCACCTAAAGATTAAAAATGACTGAACTAAATGCTTAAGGTGTTGACCCTAATTTAATCTCTAGATTGACGATCAATATAAAGCAGGCCATGGCCGCCATAGGCATCGTAACTTTCATAGACGGGGAGGTTTTTCCACTCAGGCTGGTAGGTGGTTGTGCTATATACAAAGGCTTTCATTCTTCTTGGTGCATCTGCTGATTGCCCAGATGGTGTGCTCTCTCCCGCCCACTGTTTCACCTCCAGCTCCACCGATGTGCGCTGGTACATGTGAGGACAACCCTCAAACTCATCCAGAAACTGCAGCATCTGGGAATCCACACAGTAAACCTCCCCCTCGACCTGCCGGCCCACGCCTGGGATGTTCAGCAGGAAGGGGATGTTGTATTTGCCTGCAATCACCAGCGGGAACCTCTCAATGGTGCGTGCGCCGCAGCAGTACTCAGCATGTCCGTTCCTCTCGTCTGTCATTCTGAAGTAGTTGGGCTGGCCTTTCTTCAGGGTGCCATACACAAAGACACGAGCCATGTGGGCAGTGACAGTGACCAGCGTCTGGGACAGTTGGACACCAAGAGTGTCAGTTTACAGAAAGAGTTTATCAACAAGCTATGCATTTGAGTTTTGAGCTACTTATAGTCTGAGGGGCAGATAATTTACATTAGAAATACAGATTAGATAACAAAAGTATTACTCTCAAATCAGTAATATTTTTCATAGAGATACCACAACTTAAAACATGCACAGAATAGGGTCATGCTATGATTTACAATAAATAAACACGCCTCTGATGTCAGCTTGGGATTACAGAGATCTTATCACTCAAAAAAACACTGTAAAACAGTTCCAGGTCTTATTCGACAAACTTAATGCCATTTACCAGTCATAATTCCTCCAATATGAGAACAATTTGTCGAGTGTTTCTTAAATACATCAAGAAGAAATCCAGAAAATGCAGCAGAAATCATTTAACTGTAGGCATTACTACTGAATGTTTGGTTAAAACTCCTTAAATGTTATACAGGACCAAAGACCACAATGAATAAATAGAGACGCAGGACGTATTAGCCAATGTTTGTCAAAAATCAAAGGATCAGCATTGGGGTATCAGTCTTGGTCTATATTGCAGGCCAATATTAATTTATACTTTAGTCAAATATTCAAGTTAGCAGCACCAGAGCTAAAGACATAACTAGTAAAATAATAGCAGCGATTGCATTGGACGATCAGCCTTTTTCTGTAGTGAAGGATGAGGGATTTCCTCAGCTCACCCCTTACAACCTCACTACAACCTTCCGTCACACCTAGTACTCCGTCTCTGATGTGGTTGCTGCACACACCTACAGAAGGAATGAGTCTGTTGCTGGCGTTATCATTATTGTGCCCGTCACCTGTTCCGTAACTACAGACACTAATCACTTAATGGCTATTCATTATTCACTATTCACATCATTAAGCGAATTGGTCAATAAGCCAGATATTTAAACCATACTGTACTGGTAGTGGGTTTCTGCCAGCAATCTTTACATATCATTTTAATGTCACCATTGCACCATTTATAACATTCTTATTATATTCATAAATGTTTATAGAGTAGTGTACTGTATACTGTAATGAACAGAGTAGAGCAAATCAGCTCCAATATACATTACTTAGATTTGTATACTGTCACTCTAAAAACATGCACGGCAACAAATGCTTAAAAATAATAGGAATGTACTCAATAAAAGTTTGTTTTTCGTGTCGTTTTATACTTTTAAATTCATCCAGCACAATCTTTACTAAATAAACTAAATGTAGCAAATTTATTAAAATCTACTAAATTTTTCTAGACTTGTCAGCAACACGCGTAAATTCAGCTGGCTGGAAAAAATACCTACTGAAGGACGTACGTTGGTTCTACCTGCCAAGAACACACAGCTGTCATTATACAAACGGAGGAAGCAGAGAAACGTCCCCACTTTCCGTTGACACATCAATAAGAAAAGGTATGTACACAATCATCATTTCTTCTACTCTTTTTTTAAAGGAGTTTTAATTATTATATTTTTCTTGGAACTGTTTTGCCGTTCGCTCGATTCCCATTGCTTACATATACCTTTAAGTAAATTTGACATTAACTGAGTGGAACATATCGTACAATGACTTTGATAGATTATCAAAGGAAGACAGATTATTCATTACATCATTGTTACATTCAGTACAGTATGCATTCACTTGGTTAATAAGTAAGAAGGTGAATTCTGATTCTTTCAGTCAACATTTTCTGTAAACTAGCCATGTTAGCTGTCCCTCCTGATGAACAGTCATTATTTTCCTGAAATTGATATGATAAATGGAGATTTCAGTCTGTAACATTAATGTAACTTTCTCAGCTCACCAGACTGTTAGTGAAAGTTGTCAGTTAACTGACTTTCAAGCATTCTAGTTAAGGTTAACCTTATTCATCTTAATCTCCAGATACTTTGGACTGTTTTCTCTGTGTAAAAAAATCAAGATATGCTAAATATTAATTTGTCTTAGAACTTTGTATAGACTTGCAGCCAGAACTCAAAGAAACTACATTGTTATATTAGAAACTACATTTGCATATGTGTGTTTTGTTATTAAATTGATCAGCACCATCATTAAATTCAAAGTATATAAGCTTTAAGTTTAAGGGAGTTGGTTTCACTCTAACTCTTAGTTTAGCCTGAGATGGCAGTGTACAGTATGCAGTGGGACCCTGCAGTGTAAAAGGACTCTTCTAAAGCACTATAGACTGGAACACGACACTCGTTCTGTTCCACGTCCACATTTTGATTGCTTTTGCTCTTTTAAAACATGGAATGCACTTCCATGGAAGAGCTGAAATTAATCTCTGGCATAGCATCTTTTCCAGTTATAAAAAATATCATTGAGGTTAATCTCAAGAAACGTGATTGGTTAAGGAAATATACAAAGCTAACCCAATGACTGAAGGCCTCAGTGAAGGTGGTCCAGTTTCACCTTCTTTTAAGAGAAAAGCATTTTTCAAGAAGAATTTTAACACTGTTGAACTAGTGGAATACTCCAGTCACAGATGTTTTCAGTATGTTCCAGCTCTTCAGTCCTTACAGTAGGTTTTTTGTAACAGAGAAATTGCAGTGAAGCCATTTTCAAGTGTAGAGAGGAAGAGTAGCATTTTCATGATGGAAATCATTACAATGAAAACTCTGAGAATGATTGTCCCGCTCATCCTATATGTGGATGATTTTGAAATATGTAATCCACTTGGGGCTTCCAGAAAGAAACAGAAAATATCTGCCGTTTACTTCGCTTTGGCAAATGTGCCTTCAGAGTTGAGTTGCAGTTACCTTGCAGTCCTCAGTAAGTCTGCTGACATGAAGAAATTTGGATATGAAAAGGTTCTTGAACCACTTCTCAAATACCTGGCTAATGTTGCAACAGGAAGGAGTTTATATCGCCAGTTCAGGAAATATCGAAGGCACTGTCTATTGTACTGCAGCCTGCAATGACAATGAGGTGCCCCCTTATTAATCTGAAGTACCTCAAAACACTGAAATATATAGGTTTTCCTAGAAACCTCAACCGCTACCCCACTCTTTGGCTAATCAAAATCTATCTTATTGAAACTAAACAAGTTAATTAACTGAGCTGATTATTAAATTTAAGAAATACATGGAATATCTGGGATACCCCTGAGGAGAGGTTTGGGAACTGAAGTGGTTTTCATCTAGCTACCCAACAAGATATCAGCATCAGATTATGGAGAACAGAAAAAAATCATGTTAGTTTTTAATTGTTTTACTTTTAATTTGCATATATTCTAATGTAAAATAACTGTTTTGTTTTTGTAAGAAAAAAGTTAATTACCCAGGTAAATAGTTTTAAACGTTTGCTTTGAGTGCCTAAGACTTGACATCTATCTATCTATCTATCTATCTATCTATCTATCTATCTATCTCCGTAGTATCCACAGTTACACCTCTCTTACGGAGTTTATCATACGTGTCCGCCTTTCTCGGTTTCCCTGATCACGTGTCAGTTAAACATTTCCTGTGCATGCGCCCAATACCACAATACACACATTAGGTCTTGAGCTTTCAGTTCCTATTACCGAAGCGGCGTCTCATTCCAGCTTCTGCCATAACCACAAACACTAACAAACCTGGTCAGCATATTCTGAAGAACAGGTGAAATATTACAGAACCAGGCGTTAGAACAGACTGATGGATAAACTGTATTAACCCCCAAGAGCAAACTAAGGTGCAAACAGCACCGGCAAGAGAAACAGTAAGTCAAAATAATAAAAGGTACTTACATTGTGTATGAGAACATATCAACTAATAATGCTAATGTTCGGGATACAGAGCAAATAAATATAAATATGGTGCATATAATGCACGAAATAAAGTGCCATCTTTACCCTGTTCAAGATCGTTTTTGCCGGTTGGGTTTCCAATTACAAGACTGTAAAACACGCTTTCCCATATTCCGTGGTCCGTCACTTTCACACATAGTTTCAGGGACAACTGGATATACTCCTGCCATAGAAGTCACAAGAAATAAACATTAAATGAACTGAACTTACCTTCGCCAGACTCCCTGTTCAGCAGATGACTTTGAAAGCACGAAGTTTATGCCACACCTACGATGTGTAAGGGCTACGGCAACCTTTGTAGGACAAAAATCTCTTTATATTTATATTTAACCATGCGCTTTTATATATGAATTCTTTTATTTATTGTTAGAGTACTGTTCTCGAACCAATTAACCAAATCGGATTTAAACATATACAATGAGCCAGACTTATAAAATTTCTGTTATTTATTTATCAGAATGAACACTGCAATACAAATATCAAATGAATATTTGCAACATTATAGGCCAGTTTGTGTCAGACAGTCGTCTTGTGCTGCTGGTGGAGTTTACGTCGCAGCATGCTGTAGTTCTCCCTGGTGCCTGCCGCATTGGGGTCGAGCTCTAAGGAGAGCTCGTAGTGCTTCTTAGCAAAGTCCAGTTTCCCCCAGCGATGGTACAGAACAGCTGAAATGGAACCACAGTCACTTCTCAGCACAGCAAGTACATGTATTATTATACTGTGTATGTATTGTAACATTCCTCTCAACCTAAGGTCACTGAAAGCAAAGTGTACACATTCAGGGTTGTTAGAAATATAAGAAAATGAAATGTCTTACCAAGGTTGCCGTGGCAACTGGCGGCATTAGGGTTAATTTTCAGTGAATTAAGGAAGAAACTCTCCGATTCCTGAAAGGGATTCAGACATTACTATATTTAATGAATGAATGAATGAATGAATTCATACTATATTTAACTGTAGTACTTATTGGTCATGCCTGATATTTTGAAACCTTGAACATATTACAGATTTTGGGAGGGTATGTGGGTCTGTTAGTGACCGGCAGTTCAAATCGCCGGGTCTGCAGAGTGACTTAACGATTGGACCCCTGAGCAAAGCCTTTAACGTTCATTTTCCCCAGCGACTGTCTGGACTCTGCTTTCTCAATCCTACAGTGCTTTGGATGAAAGGACCAGCCAAACAAATGAAATGTTAATACTGGATATATATTCCAAAAATACAAAGTGCCAGTCATTTTCAGTCTCCTCATCAGGTACCAAAAAATTACTGAAAACAGGCAAATATAATTTAACCAGAACACAAGAAAGTGAATAATACTTTTCTAAAGAATTTTAAATGCATGAAATATAACAACACTTTGAATAAACAACTTAAGCAGTTACTGTACCTTGTATTTCTGCTGTTTACCAAGAACATTAGCCAAAGAAAACATAATTGTGTGGTCTTTGGGCAGAAGTTTCAATGCTTCTTTACCAACCCTTTCAGCCTGAGCCAGGTTGCCTTGGGGAGAGAAAAAACATTAAAGCTGAGATATTATAATTAACCTGTTTATGAGGTATTCTGAATAAAGCCTGACTTCTCTGTCATAAAGATAGAAAACAGAAGTGCCAATGTAATGGCATCATAATTTAAAAAAGTTTTGTTTTCAGTGAACAAAACTGATTATTGGCCTCAAGAATGTTGCAAAGGAAGCTTTAAATGTGAACTGGGGGTTTAGGTCTCACAAGGTGGAGACAAAGCTCTTCATTACAGCATCAGGCGTTGAAGATGAGTCACGCTGGTTGGCAGATAGCTGGGTAGGCTGCGGCTTTCTCCCTTATGCTTCTTATGGTGACATATACAGGCGGCTGTCACAGCGTACTGATACAGTCTCAGTGAACTTATCCTGCGTATTTTCTACATGCTCTGCTGCCATAAACAATAAGAGCAAGCTTTCTGTTATTACTGTGCATGTAATTGGTTATCTTAGGCATGTTTTTTAAGTGTCCGTTTCCTGTGTTTACACTGTCAGTTATCTTAAAAGCACTGAAATGCTTGAAGTCAGATTGTTCCCTGATAAGGATCTGTACTCATGCTTTTTAAAGAAAAGGAAATATTACCATTAATTCTCACTTAACCACACTTTCTTTATAGTGTTCTAGGGAACACAAACAAGGTCTGACAGGAGTTACAGTTGGTTCTTTAAAAGACTGAATTACGGCGAAAAATACATTCATCTTCCTTGAAAATAATTTGTGACAGAAAACTAGCTGCAGCTGTGACAATTATAACTTCACAAAATGTACCTTTTTTCAGAAAATGTGTTACATTTGCAAGAACAAAGTAAGTTGTCAAGGAAAATACGCATTTGTACTAGATCCATTGACTAGGAAAAAACTGAGAGAAATGTTACAACATGCCTCAACTTCTAAAAACATTTATAAAGTATTCTATGTGGAAAAGCTGGCTGGGGACACCCTGCCACTGCCGGTAGCAGAAAACAGCAGCGTGTGAAGCACTGCAGGCAGACATGTCTGTACCTGTGTTGTCGAGCAGAATCACCATGTTGTTCCAGGCCAGGCTGTGGTCTGGTTTTAGCATAGTGGCATTCCTCCACGCATTGAGGGCATCGAGGTGCCGGTTCAGATCTGCGTACTGTGGATGAAAGTGCCGTGAGGGGACAGAAATGGGGACGCGAGGGGGCAGGAAATTACCTACACGTAGAGCTGGGTAATTCAGGTCCGTAGAGTAAAAGTCCAGACCAAGATTTTGTTTCAACCAACCAGTTGAGCATCAAGAGTCACAGAGTATTCAACTGGTTGGTTGAAACAAAATCCTAGTCTGGACTTTTACTGAACCTGAATTACACAACTCTGCTCACATGCCATTAATACATCACAAGTCTAAAGAATGCTTAAAACGGTCTGTCACATGGTCCACCTACTGCCCTCACGTGACAAAAAGTGTCTTTGGAGAACTCGTACTGTGAAAAAGGGTTCCTTACGAGTCGTCCAAGGTTGTAGTAGCAGTCAGGATATTTTCTCCTGAATTTGATGGCGTTCCAGTAGCTCTGTTCAGCATCATCAAATCTTTTCAGACTGTTCTGCACAATTCCCAGATTCATCCATGCTGCAGCAAAGTCAGGCCTAGAGAAAAGCACATGGTTGTTTAGGCATTAAAGAAAGCCTTTGGCGTGAGGTGTCGCCCAGATACAAACTGAATGTGAACCGCTTTGGCGTGAGGTGTCGCCCGGATACGCACTGAATGTGAACCGCTTTGGCGTGAGGTGTCGCCCGGATACGCACTGAATGTGAACCGCTTTGGCGTGAGGTGTCGCCCGGATACGCACTGAATATGAACCGCTTTGGCGAGCAGCTCCTCAGCTTCCAGAAGCTCGTTCCTCTCCTTCAGGATATTCCCCAAGTTGTTCATTGCATGGACGTACTTTGGATGCAATCTGCCGAGAAAAGTTTACCATGTCCTATAAGCAGACAACAATTGCCAGTCTCTCTAATTAGTGTATCTAATGAGGTGTTACCTCACGGCTTCTCTGTAATATCTGATTGCAGCACTCTGATTACCACGGTCTGCCAGGTTTTTCCCAACATTGTAATGAACCTGAGAAAAAGGCATTAGGAAAAGTAATAATACATATTAAAACAATATTAAGGTATTTCAACCTTGTAGAAAGGTTCAGAACCTTAACAAAACAAAGGATATTTAAAGCACATATCTTGTTGCTGTCTCAAAAAGTTTTTACTAAAGAGTTTGTAAATCACCTGCAACTAAAAAGTGATTAAGTATTAGTAAACATACTTAGAAATGTGTCACACTGGAGCCTTAGTGGTCCGCTCCTTAGCTATCTAGGAACTGTTACTCATCATTTCATAATATATACTAGTAAATAAAAAGATTCACTTACAAATTTCGAAATTTATTATGAAGATATTTTGTCTCATAAAAATATTTACTAAGGAGCTTGTAACTGCTTAATTATGACTTATTTCTGAGTACAATTACTAACCCATTACTTTACATTTGCAAGTGATTTGTAAGCTGTTTTGTAAATGCCAGAAGCAAGATATGATTGTAACACATTTCTAAATTTGTTTCTGAATGAATCTTTGTATCTATTAATGTATTATCAGGTTATTAATAATAGCTCATTAATAGTTAAGGAGCAGACCATAAACTGTCACCAAAAGACCACCGATTACGAACAGGAACGCGACATATGAACAATGCGCAAATGAAACAGTGCAGAACAGTGTGAGTGCGGGGAGAGGCCCTGACCTTGGCGTTGAATGGGCAGACAGACAGAGCGCTGCTGAAGAGGCTCTGCTCGGATCGCCACTGGTGACTGCGGAAAGCACAGCGGGCCATGTTGGTGCACAGCAGTGCCAGCAGGGCGAGGCGGAGCGGCTTCTGCTGGAACGCAGCGGCGGAACATAAGGGTCAAGACCGGCGATATAAAGCCAGTGAGCAAAAACTGGAGTCGAGCAGCTGAGAACAAAACTGGTGCTTGATATCACCGAGGTCAGTTGCCATTCACCTGACGGTCCCTCCGAAGGCTGCAGACCACCCCCACGCCGTAGGTCACTATCAGACAGTAGCCGGCTGTGGAGAGGTAGAGGACACGCTCCGCTATGACGAACCCAACTCTGAAGAAGAGGTTACTGGCAGGGAGAAATGGCACCACCAGCAGGACCAGCCCAAGCGTAAGAACCCTGTCCCATTAAAGGAAACCAGTCACTTTCTTTTGGTATTTTCATCTAGACGATAAAATATAATGACAATAGTTACATTATTTCCATTTACAGTACTAGTCAAAAGTCTGGACACGCCTGATTTTTAATGCATCTGTCTCTATTTTAGATATCTTAATCATTTTATAGTAAAAGGCCTTGAGGCAATGATGTAAAACATCAATTATTGTGATGACCTAGAAAAGTGTTCAGTGAAATTTCTGAAATTTTATACTCTTCAGAATAGCCCCCTTTTGCATCAATGACAGCACAGAAGACTCTTGGCACTTTCAAGCAGCTTCCAGATGTAGCCACCTGGAAAGCTTCTCCTATAGTTCTGAAGGAGTTTCCACAAGGTTTAGCCACAAGTTGACTGCCTTGCTCTTACTCTTTGATCCAACAAATCCCCAACCAGCTCTGTAGGGTTTAGGTCAGGGGATTGTGGTGGGTGCTACAGCACTTCATATCTCTCCTTGTTCACAAGATAATACTTACTACATGATCTCAGTGGGGGGGGGGGTGCTTAGGGTCATTACCTCGTTGAAAAACAAATGATTTTCATTACTCGTGTCTAGACTTTCAACTGGTACTTCACACTAAGTACTGATAAAAACCTATAAAATGTAACAAAAACTATTGAACCAGTGAAACAACTGTCTGAACTTGTTTTTAACAGGTAAACTTTAAAAATGAAAATAACACACAAAACTCCACAGAGCAGGAGAGCAAAGAAACCTCATACAGATAAGTTGGTAAAAGCTCAGACTATGGACAGTCCTGTACACTGGAGTGATCTGTGGATTTACCTTCTTCTGTGACCATCCGCTGAGCATAAAGCTTGGATGGTCAAGCTCCCCAGGCCTCCCCAGAGGAGGATTGGCCACATCACTCTCCAATCAAGAGCAGATTCGATGAGAGGCACACAGCCCATCGACCAATCAAAGCACAGCCACCAGGGGCACAGGAGCAGCCATGTGTTCAAGAAGTAGTAGTAGTGATAGTTTATAGCCTGCTGACCATGTGAGGAGCAGACATGGTACAAAATACATTAGATACATAGACAGCCTGAGGACTCCATGGACAGTAACTGTTTAAAACAATGAGAACACAAAAAAACATTTATCCACTCAAATATGCAAGTTTTGCAAATGCAATATAGACTTAGTATCAAGAAAAATGAGTCACAATGTGAGACTGACATGCACTGTCAATCATTGCCTGCTCTAACTAATTGGTAATGATCTATAATAGCCTGTGCTTGATAATCAGTGAAAACCTCACCTACCATGGGTTTCAAATATTAATTTCTGATAGTACTACTTAATAGTTCCATCCATTCATCCGGTCAGGGATGTTGGGAGGGACATACCCACACAGCAGGAGGAGAACATGCAAGCTCCCCACACACAGCAGGAGGAGAACATGCAAGCTCCACCCACACAGCAGGAGGAGAACATGCAAGCTCCCCACACACAGCAGGAGGAGAACATGCAAGCTCCACCCACACAGCAGGAAGAGAAACTGCAAGCTCCACCCACACAGCAGGAAGAGAAACTGCAAGCTCCACCCACACAGCAGGAAGAGAACATGCAAGCTCCTCACACACAGCAGAAGTGGCATTAGAACCCCAACATCCACCACAGGGAACCACTCTGCCACCCTAACGGTACTTCACTACGGATACCGTCATCATACCGTCATCATCACCAACAGCACAATCAAGAAAGAGTTTATCATCTTACTCACTCTAAGAAACACATTTTCTTGAAAGGAAGCTGGGTTGTCTACTTCAGTGAAGGCTGGGGGACCAGTACCCATGATCCTCCAGCGTGTGTACAACAGGAGGCCTCCTCCAAAGGTGAGCAGAGCTACCCGTGTTAGGAAACCCCGTTTAAAGAATACAGTAACCTGGCACACGGAGAAGAAAAAAAGAAAGAGGACATCTTAACTCTGTCAACTGGCCTCTGTTTTTCTGTATACAAATGGCTCTAGGGTCTGAAATATACCTCTGCTAATTTTCCTTTTAATATGACTCTCTTGCTAAGTTCCAAGATATTTATGTTGCAGATCAGGAGGATGTCGAAGGCAGCGTTTACTCCCTGAGTGCAGAGACCGAAACACAAGCTCAGTAAATGAATGAAGGTGCACAAACGAAAAAAGGAATAAAGCATTTATGGCAGGACAAAATCTATGAGACAGTAAGTTAGAAATTCTCTCAAGGTGCCATGGGAGAAAATATAATTCACATTTTGAAACGCTGCTAATGACTCAGTGTCCTAAACGTCAATTTCCGAAATTCCTACCAGAACCGTGATTCCTTGTTCCTTGCAAAGCATGGCAACAGCACACAGCATGAGGCTGATGATGACCCATCGCGCAGAGAAGATCTCACCTTTATGGTTACCTGAAAAGAAAAATGTGCCGAAAAACCTGAACGGACCCATGCACAAAGGGTTAATTTGATTTTTACGTCCAATAATTAACATTACAAAATGGTCTGCCCAGGTCAGCTAATTTATATTTTTATAAATATTCTTAAACAATTTAAAATTTATATCAAAATATAGCCCGTGCATCACAGAATTTTTTTTAAATGATCAAATTTCCATTTTATTCTTACCTCTCTGGAAAGCTCTGCAATATGTAAGAAAGGATAACTGGAAGAACAGGGCACATAAGAGGTCAGCCCTGCCCACAATGCCTGCCACCTTCGGTAGGAAAGAAAAGCCTGTGAGATTCCATTACGGCCCACCAACCCCCATACTGACCCTCTCTCAAATAGAGAGAGCCTCTCATCCATTTCCCTAGGAAGTCAAACAGCCTGGCAGAGAAAATCTTATGCATCCATTAGATCGGGTTCACATGTTCACCAATATGTCAGCCACATGAAAGCAACCCGCATGCCGCATTTCCTGCAGGCTCTACGGAATGTGCCGCTTTCCACACCTTGGTGTTCGGCCTGTGTTTCGTAGCTTTTGCTGCATTACATTTGAACTGGGAAGTCGGAATATTCAACAGGAACACCCCCTAGAGCCGGCATTCCAACTCAAAAGAACCTCTGCAACCCAACCACAGAATTCAAGATGGCTGCGCCCTTCACCAACAGTTGCAGTTATATAATGTTTATTAGTGCTTCTGTATTTGTGTCTCATTAAACCAGTTGCACGGTACTGGCCAACCGCTATCTGTGGACATGTTGCTATGGTGTTTGTAGGCAGCAAATACCGCAAAAATGCATTGTTTTCAACAGATATTGCTAATAACGGCTAACAACCAACCTGGCTAGAACTAGCATTGGTAAATGGCTTTCCAGCTTCTTGTACTTAAATGCGGTTAACTTGGGTGTGAAGTCATTCCCAGCTCCGACTCCCGAGATACAAGGAAAGCAGCATTTGTGCCTAGAGGAACTAAGCTGGGCATCAGTCCTCCATGCAGTAATTCAGCTGCTGTTGTCCTAAGGCTGTCCAGCTACGGACAGGGGTAGTGAGCGCTTTTACAGCCTGGACGCAGAGTAAGACGTCTTTCTGAAGAACGCACTGACGGTGTGCCCAGCAAGGCTCGGTCTGTGGCACGTTAAAACACACTGCAACTGATCAAAAGCCCTGAAGCTCAGCTCAGATTAGATCAGAAATGTACAGAAATACGACGCGACCAGAACCGACCCCACAAAACAGCTGCTTCACCGTGTGACCCACCTCCTCAGCCCAAATCTACCAATGTCTACCTTTCACAGCTCTTCCCTTGGCTACAGATGAGATTTTCATGCCACCCTTTATGTTTAAACACAAAACCCAAGGGCTGCAAAGCTCTGCTTCGCATTTGTGTATGTTTTTTTTTTATTATTATTTTTTTTAGGTAACACATTGTTTTCTGCAGCAGGATGAATCGCTGTCCATCATCACCTCTCTACTTACACTTTCTGTGTGAACCGGATGGACGGCAAAAAGCAGCGCAGCCAGAAAAGAGGATTTCGGAGCTTGGCTGACCGTGCCACCCATCAATATAGCAAAGACATCAATCATTAAGACAGAAATGACACTGTGGAGGGCTATGTTGAGCACATGAAAGCCCACGGGGTGCAGTCCACCAGCCAAAAGGTAGTTCAGTCTGAAACAAAGACACACAATGGGGACGATGCAAAGTTACGGGGTTAGAAGCACAAAACAGCACAGTGAAGTATCCATGAAGCATGACATCACCTATATTTTGTTATGGCTACAAACAAGGACCCACATCAGTTAAAAATCACCACTTAAAGTCCTCCAGATGGCACTGTCCAAAACGGTTACCTGAAAGTCAACACTGTGAGTGGCCGATAAGACTTGTGGCTGGTATTACTGCTTAGGTTAGTCCCCCAGAAATCATTTCCCCATATATTGTTTAAAGGGGTTTCTGGCTTTAAGTCCTGGATCAAGAAAAAAAAAACACAAACACACAATTTCCCACCTGAAATGCAAAGGCTAACATCTCAGAAAATTACCAGCAAGCACAACCAACGTGCAAAAAAAAATCTCAAATATCTGTCTTAAAGCTACTATCAGTGTGATATTAGTATAACCAGCATTAACTACTTATGAGTCTTATACAAAAATGATTTCTGTCAATAGCTGTATGAGGAACTTCGTAAAAGGGAGGGGTAGATTGTAGTATTAACATTGTCACCTTGTTATTGATAATAGCCTCAGAATCATCAAACACAAAATCGCCGTCGTAGCTATTAATGAAACACAGGAGAGCCGCCATGCCGACGACAATCCGCGAGTGACACGGAGAGGCGGCCGGCAGCAGCACGTGACGCTCCCAGTGAACTTCAGGCAGTGCCATTGTGACTGCAAAGCCTGCAGATACTGCATCCCCTCTTATGTCCTTAGAGAACAAGAAGAAAAACATGAATGCATGCCACTACGGATTACTCACATTACTTTATACGGGAAATAAATTCTGCCTAATGGGTAACTGGCACTTTTGATAATTATGATGATTCGTATTAATGCCCGAGCGAAAACCCTGCTGCTTTGTTGCAGCTCATTGTAGAATAAGGTATTGCATATTCGTCTCAGGTAACTAAAGTAACGTGCAAGACAGCAGACGGAAAGCACAGGGTTTAGTCGAATGACAATTAATGAGTGAATTTCTGCAGACGTGCACGAGACAGATGCACAATGAAGACGCAGAGCCGCGTTTGCTTACATTTAGTAACTACACGAGATGAGTAAATGACATCGTTTAGCGGAAACGTGCTAACACTTCTTGGTTTCGGGAACATGTCTGAACCAACAGGCTGAATAAGAAGGAGAAACGGGAGCCATACCTGCTCATTTTACTGCACAGAAAGTGGGCTGCGGCTTTGCTGGCGCGAGCGCAGTCGCGTTACGTCAAAAGCAGACGTTCAAATATGGACCCGCCTCGTAGGGATAACAATCATGGCACAGCATGGAGAGAGAAAGTAATCTGTATGTCTGCGCACAGCATATAATACCGCTGGCGGCACTAAACAAACATGCAAATGGAGCATGTACGCAGTAAGCACACGCAGAGGAGTGTCGCCGTATAGCACTGGCGAAGGGCTGAAATGTCGCTCTCACAGCCGCACCGACCTCAGCGCCTGTGCTTAAACTTCGTAGCTTAGCCGGGTACAAAGGCAAAACCCAGATGCTTAGCTGACGCTGGGCTTTGGCTGAGGCGGTGGTCACGTGTACACGGGCTCCATAACTTCCACTTATTTTAGGACGCGATGCCGCCAGGGGGCGGTATTACATTAGATTCCTGCTGCTATTGTTTACGCGCTATCAATTGTCCAGGTTACATCAGCGAAGGGCTCTGCATGTGAAGCAGTATGCATTGATAATGAGAGGATGCTCATTTATATCAATTACCGTTTAAAAGAATCTATCATAAATGTATCTTTTCTACAAAGGTGGTTGTTGTGTTCTCTCCAAAACGTCTGCACTTTCTACACTCTCAGCTCGTGCCTGTCCCCAGCAACAGACCATCTGTGGCATTTATGAATATTTTAATATTTCGTGACCTGACAGAAAATGTCTTTGAAAGTGTAAAAGTTCCTTTTTGTTTTCATTTCATTTTATTTCTATAATTTCTATTTTTGATAAATCACACGACACCGAAAGATAAAGTAAACAACTTTTGTACAATGCAATCCTCATTTTATGCACAAGGAATTTGTTTCAAAATAAATATAGTCTGTTGCTCATCAAACAAACAAATGATAGATTTGTATGAATGGTCCATGCATTTTCAGTTCCTTCAAGATTCCTTATGAACACATTTCTAAACTGGGGTTACAGTGAGGGTGACATTGATGCAATCATTAAGATATCAATTACCTCATATGACCAAATATATATGTTTCTGAATTCTTTCAGTGTATTTAATCAGTTTGCATTCTCTTTATGCTTTCTCCCAAAGTGCGTATTCAGTACCGAGACACCATGAGCCCAGGACCTATCCTGACCTGTAGGTCACAGTCTTTGGTATGAAGATGTTCATTGAGACTCTGCACCGCTCTCTCCGCCAAGGTAGCCTCTCACTGCTTATCACCCTGGCTGCACCCATGACAGCATAATAATTACAGTTTATTTGCACCACTAATTCAAAATCATATTAACATTAAATAACCCTAGTGCTGATTTTCACCTCCTCATTTTATTTTGAAGCAGCAGTATTATTGAAGTCAGGGTCACAAGCAGGTGTAAATCCACAGATACTCAAAATATTAAACAGGTAATGCTCACCAATAACAGGACCTGGTCTGTCAGTTATTTACAGAGAAAACTGCCACAATGGGATATTGAAACCTGTTATTGCATAGCAGGTGAACAACCCACATGTATCTTTTTTCACTCAGCTTTTAGCTGGAGGAGATGGAAGAAAATAATATCAAAAAATGATTAATTATTCTTTATTTAATGGGCTTAGAATGAGAAATGGTTGGTCAGACACTTCATAGTTTTCTCTCCATTAATCATCATTAAAAATGCATTAAATGTAACATCTTACATGTCACCATTTTCTGTCGCGATGGACTCGCATATTTAAGGTCCTGTGCTTCTTTGGATATTTTATTTTTTACAGTATAAAGCAGCAAATATAATTTAATCAAAGCATTTCGATCACAAGTGCTGTTTTTCCCCCAGAGCCATAATAATGTCAGCCTCCTGGCTAACTCTCTCAGCCAGCAGCATGACTGCTTCTGTGGTCACGTTGCTCTTGCACCCATCCCTCCTCATTCTGGTAATCACACGTAATATTACGTACATATAATGTATGCCTCTAGAAGATAATAAAATGTTTCATTTGCTCACTAACTGAGCTGGAAGATGGTCTTTTAAGCAGTTCTGTCACTTTAGGTAATACCATCCAGCAATGGGATACAGAAAAGGCTGGATTTTTTGCTTTACCCTTTTTATACAATAGAGTTGCTCTTATCACCCTCTACTGTCATTTCATTCATTCATTTGACTTCCCTCTTGCTTTTCTGTAAACAGCCCTGTGAACCAGTTAATGATCAGTTTGCTGCTGCTGCTGCTATTAACCTACTACTACTGCTACTATAGTGTACAGCTGCTGCTACTAGCCTACTACTGCTATTAGTCTACTACTACTGCTACTATAGTGTACAGCTGCTGCTACTAGCCTACTACTGCTACTGCTGCTACACTTCCCAGTCAAAAAAAAAGTCCCCATTTGAATTTTGCATTGGACCGCCTTTCGCTTTGATTATGGTGTACATTTTCCATTCCATTATTTCTAGAAGTTTATGCAACATCTCTGCATTTAGTTTCATCCATATTTGCATCCATTTCTCACTGAGATCTTGTATTGACAAAGTGAGTTGAATCACTCCATGAAGTCTTCTTCAGCACATCTCAAAGACTTTCAATGGGGTTAAAGTCAAGACTCTATGGTGGCCAGTTCATGTGTGAAAATGATTCCTCTTGCTACTGAACCACTCATTGACAATTCAAGCCTGATGAATCTTGGCTTTCTTGCCCTGGAATATGCCCATGACATCAGGAAAGAAAAAATCCATTGATGGTGGATGGAGGTGTAACCTGGCCAGTAGATTCAGGTACTCTAGCTTACTACTGTTGCCACTAGCCTACTACTACTGCTATGACTATCCTACTGCTACTGCTGCTGCTAGCCTACTATTACTGCTACTAGCTTACTACTGCTGCCACTAGCCTACTACTACTGCTGCGACTATCCAACTGCTGCTACTACTGCTGCTGCTAGCCTACTACTACTGCTACTAGCTTACTACTACCATCACTAGCCTACTACTACTGCTGCGAATATCCTACTTATACTAATATTAGCTTACTACTGCTGCTACTAGCCAACTACTACTTATTGTTGCCACTGCTCCTGCTGCAACTGAAATATTGTGACCAATTTTCCATAAGAACATAAATTTACAAACGAGAGGAGACCATTCGGCCCATTAAGCTCGTTTGGGGAGAACTTAACTTATAGGTCGATCACCCACTTGTCTAATGCGAGTAATTTAGGGGCAGGGCGGGAAAAAAACATCAGCCGACTGCCTAGTGAAAAAAAGAATTGCGTGTAGAGCTGTCAAAGTTAACAGATTAGTGTTAATTTTAGCCATCATGCTCGCATAACTATGAGCAGTTTGGTAACTCCAATTCACCCCAGCACATTTTGGACTGGGAGGGACACATATGAAACACCACAATAACTGAGGGCGAGCATGCAGACTCCACACACAAGGAGCCACGGCAGAGACTCAAATACTGGTGATAATCACTGTTCCACCATGTAGTGGTTTGTACGTTTGATATTGGTGTCCACAAGAGTAAACTAAGAAGCTGCAGATTCATAAGGGAGATGATAAAATGGCCCATAAACCTTGAATACTTGGAAACAGTTTATTCGTGGTTTGTTGCAACACATTTGAAAGCACAGCAGGATTAATTACAGTACATTCTGAAATGCAGGCCAAAGCCCCTTAAATTCTGTGGACACATTCATTAAACAAACTGTGGGAAAGCAAATTCATAATATCATTTTCAAATTTTCAAATAAGTCACATCTGACGTATATCTTAGACTTTATCACCAAACTTGTAAATACTGACAAACAAAGAATGTTAGGGCCAAAAAGTGGTCCCCACTTTAACCAAACCACTTAAACAGACAAATCATACCTCCTTTAATCGCAAAAATCATCATCAGAAAATAAATGTATTAACCCTGTAGTAAGGGTTACATGCTTAATTAGTCATAATGTGCAGGATAAGTAGTTCCACCAATACTGCATGCAAATGCTTCATGAACTGCGACAAAGGGTGGGCAAGTGAACATTAAATTATAGTTTTGCATGATTAGCTAAGACCTCAAGGTTCATTAAAATATGATTCGTCTTTTTAAAGGGGCTATATAAAAATACAGTATAGGCCCCTATATGATGGCACGTTCCCACACACCTAAACAACCATGTAAGACACATTCAACAGCATTTATTAACAAGCTTAATTATGCTCATCACACATTAATGATAATAATCAGAAGTACAAAAAAAACTGAACAGCTGCTAAGGCTCATGGGACTCCAAAGCTAAACCAATCACAGTGCAGATGACGATTCCTGAGAAGCAAGGATGTGATCTTCAGTCGTTTATCGTTTTTAAACAGTTTTCACCATGTATTTCACAGGGGTTTTTTGCAGTCTTTTTAATGAACCAGTAAGCAACACAGTAACTGAGAATTTGAATGATGCTTCAAAAAGTTTTTAAAACGTAGTTTGAAAATAAATTTTAAATTGTGCACTAAGAATGTGAGTTGGATCCTGAGAAAGGTTACCGATCCCTGCTAACAGCAGGTAAAAGTGTGATAAATTGTGTTGTGGTGATTGCAGACATATATCTCCACAGAGGCCTTACATACCTCCACAGAAATCGTATGCACCTCCACAGAGATTATATGCACCTCCACAGAGATTATATGCACCTCCACAGAGATTATATGCACCTCCACAGAGATAATATGCACCTACACAGAGATTATATCCACCTGCAGAGAGATTATATGCACCCGCACAGAGATTATATGCACCTGAAAAGAGATTTTATGCACCTGCACAGAGATGATAAGCACCTGCACAGAGATTATATGCACCTGCACAGAGATTATATGCACCTGAAAAGAGATTTTATGCACCCGCACAGAGATGATATGCACCTGCACAGAGATTATATGCACCCGCACAGAGATGATATGCACCTGCACAGAGATTATATGCACCCGCACAGAGATGATAAGCACCTGCACAGAGATGATATGCACCTGCACAGAGATGATATGCACCTGCACAGAGATGATATGCACCTGCACAGAGATCAGCACCACTATCAAACTATTTAAATCATCCTGAAATTGTTTTCCATTCCATCCAAGACCTGGAGACACTAAAACATTTCTTTTTCTGATGTTTTAGCTATATCTGTCAGCTAATTTGTTTTATTTTCAGTGGTAAGGTGATTTACAGCATTTTAATCTTAAATACGTCTGAAAATTTCTACTGACGCAAGTCAGGTTAAGCACCTTTGTCGCTGCTGAAACAATGGCGTTTCTCAGGAAGCATCAAATTGCAGCCATTTGGTGTAAAATACAAATCCTCACCCACAGAAGCAGCTGCCTCCCAGCTT